AGAAATGTTGGTTTTTCATTTGGTGCTCTCGATTAGTACTCTATCCTGAGAAGCTTGGCTAACTTGATGGCTTTTGACCGCCGTTCTAAATTGAAAGAATCAAATCGTCTTTAGAAAGTGAAGTTTAATGGATGAAAAGACTGTCCAAATACTTGCTGCAAATTAGGCACTTTGCATCATCTGAATGTCCAATGATGGATAGCATTTAGGCGTGAAAACCGAATTCTCCAGCGGGTAAAATCATGCTAAATTGACTGAAATTGATGCAAGTGTCTAAAAAAACTCATTGAACAAATTCGGGAGCAGCTGTTTATTGTACGAAATTTATCTCCCTGGTATGAAGGGCTGGTCTTCTCAGTCTTTCAAAAAAAGGGGGAACCTCCTTTAGTGAAATACACGCAATCGCAAACAAATTTGGCTTCGCAAGAGACTCACCTGAAATCCAGCTGAATCTCGTTTATGATGTGCTGCACCAGGCTACCTCATGTTTCAGTTGGTACGATATTCAAGATATCGCGATACGTGTATGGATGTAATACACTACTCATAAGGTCGCTGAAAATTCTTCGACAGTCCACGACCGGTTTCACCCTTCTTCGGGCTCATCAGGTGGGCGCAGTCCCCGAGTTTCCGTCAACCTTATGTTCCACTTGATTCCAGATTTCATGGAATTACCGAAATACACTCATTCGCAATCAAATTTGGTTTTGCGGTTTTGTTTATACTTGGATGAAATTAAATATCAATCAGCTGATACGTTTTCAAACAACTCTTATTAGCAGATTTGGAGGCCGATAACGAAGCGTGTCGTTAGTTGCAAGCCGAAAATTTGTATCTCGATTAGTTTCTGCCTGAGCTTGAGCTAAGGCACAGCTGAAGTGTTTGTATCGGTAGTTGACCCCCGAATGAAAGGTCTGACAGGGCTATTCCACAGTTGTCAGTTTCCGTGGGACGAATCGGTAGCGCGACAACGCAATTTCCACCGATTAATCCTGACCAGTGAAAGTCAGCGGGGAAGCGCCAACCTCTTCTCGTTACTGTCCCGATATTGGAAGCTTAAACGTTCAACGGTCGGCCTCCATTTAGTCGTATATTAACAGTGTTCTTTTTGCTTATGTACTGTGAATGGAGGGACATCAAGCTTGATAAGCAAACTAACTTAAATACATTCATTTGCAAACTAATTTGGTTTTTCGAGAAACGCACCTGGAACCCAGCTGAATCTCTCGGTTTTGATGTCGGGGAGTTTTCGGCAACCTTCTGAGTAGTGCATTACAAAACAACTTAAATACACTTGGCTAATGCATGATTTTCCATATATCAAGGTAAACCGCAGTTCATCACTGTTCCGCGCAACATGACCGTTCAGATGGGAGCATTGGTCACGCTGGAGTGTAAAGCTGAAGGAGAACCGCAACCCACAATCACTTGGTACAAGGATGGTCAGCTTCTCGAATTGGGTGGAACACGATCATTAGTGAATAACGGTTCCTTGAGGTAAGGCCATAAACGCATCCCGTTCGATTTCGAGGTCCTAGAGATAAGGTGATAGCACTATCAGTTGTTTTTCATGGCTGCACTTCGTGCATACTAGAGTTTTTTCACTCCATTTATCATGCCTTTTTTCCGGCGAGTTACTTTACAATGAACCAGTATATTCAACCATTCTGTTCGTTCTGGACTTTGTTCCCAAGCTCTAAATCGCTGCCATAGGAATTCAGTCATCGGCACCAACTGAACAATTGCTTGACCATGACTGTAACTGGTAAGTGGAGGGTGGACTGAGCTGGTGAGCTAACCAGCATCTGCTTATGGAACAATATTCTGGTAGTTTCTCCGGTGGCATCTGCTCACCGAGATTCACATTTTGTTGGCAGAGTCGAGCATGCTCGCCAGTAAGATGTTGGGTGGATGGTGTCACTCTTCATCTCTGCACCTATATAGTTTTTTTAAAGTGTACAGGTCATCTGGCTTGACCGGTTTTTCGAAAGTCATCTTACCTACTGTTCGACTGGTCCGTTTTACAGTTCCGTTGCGCTGTAGTCCATCTTCCCAGGTTCCTTCCAACAAGACAACCACAACGAAACATGAATCACAAACGAGCCAGTCAGAACAAATCACGAGAAATAAGTAGTAGTAGAAATGAGTAGTATCTAACGCACGGAAAGTAAGACTAAAACCCAACACGTTTCGCGAGCGGACTAATTGAATTACGAATGAGATGACTTCGAAAGAGCTAATCATTGTAGGGCGTTAAAGACACCCTCCTCGAACAGAAGGAGAGAAACCAGCAAAAGTAATAAAAAATAAGGTTATTCAGATCGTCAACAGAAGCGGTGCTGATAAATCGCAAAATTGTCTCCGAATAGATGCGTACATTCCAAATCGAAAAACGCGGACGGTTATTCGAAGCATTTCAGGTCAAATTTGTATACTCGCGTATTTTCTACGTTCGGTATACGTTGGTTATAGGTTGGCTGTCCTTGAAGTTATCGAAATTCCCCACCGTGGATGACGATGGAGGTGACCCACACAAGATGGAGAAAGGCATATGGATCAAACCGCCGGACCGCTTATAAATGGTTTTGTGTTGAGGTAGTGTGGTATATATGATAGTGGGGGGCGAGATGGCTCAAGTGCTTAGAGCGCGAATTTACTGACCGGAAGGTCCGCGGTTCGAACCCGACCTCTGCCTCTCGACTACCCCTGTCTAGGCTTGGGCAACCTGGCAGTATCCCAGCCCTCGTGCTTCCTTCGGGTGGCATGGCAGATAGGCACCAAGAGGGCGACTGTTTTTATTATTATTATCTATGATAGTATAGGATAGGATAGGATAGTATATATGAACTTGAGTCAGCCATTTAACCGGATGATTTTGAACCACTGGATACCATACGAACAACCTTTTGACCAAAAAGTGACTGTCACCGTAAAAGAATGAATTATCCTCCTTCCACCTTCTTTCGCATAACACTTGTTTGGGCCTCGTGTTTTCAACACGCACATATCCACAGAAGAATCCAAATATCGTGACGTTGGTATATTTGTAACGCAGATCAAAATCCCATCCGAATAGCTCCGCACTTGTACTAGGAAAAGCCGGCTGGAAGCTTCATCTGGAAGCGGCCGAAAGGGGATACGTCTCTCTACACGCCTAAGAAGTATGTTTTTACCACTTTTCACTTAGAATCGTTGGGGTTTCAAACGATGATGAAGGCAACTACTACTGTGTCGCATCATCTAGTTTGGGCGAGGATTTCTCTTCACCAGCGACACTTCAAGTACAGTTGGATGGCAATTGGGCTGCATGGTCAGCCTGGTCCGCGTGCAGTCACACATGTGGTCATGGGAGCCAGACGAGGTAAGAGGATACATTCCCCCTAGCTTCTAATGGTTGTTTGTGTTCGTGTATCTTCCAAAGTCCTCAGGTGTTTTTGATCCTCTGTCAAGTGCTCGTATCTTTCCACAGTTTCTCATAAGACCTCATATGTTCATCGCAAGCGAAGGAGTTAATGTGAACAAATCTAATGACAAGATCTAGCCGTCATTGTGCTTGCACAGCGATCGTTTAAACGTCCACTCTGCCTGCTTCAGGTCACGTACTTGCTCTGACCCGGAACCCAAGAACGGAGGTGCCTACTGTCCGGGTGAAAACACAGAGGCTCGCACTTGTCTAGTGTCCTTCTGTCCAGTTGACGGCGCTTGGGGCGCATGGACCCCGTGGTCCGCATGTTCTGCCACATGTGGCGCTGGTCTTTCACAACGTCAGCGCCGGTGTGACAACCCTCCGCCAAGCAACGGTGGCAAGGTTAGTGCTTCATGATCAATGTGTGTTCTGTTTTCTTCAGAGAAGTGGGAATACTGTTAGAAAAAAATATCTCCAGGCTTTTCCAGTTCTTATCTATTTTTCTGTAAGACAGTTGAGTGGATTCTTGTAAATTCATAATACTGCCTCCGGTTTTATGGGTTGAACACTGAATCATGTTGATCTACTCAGGACCCATATTCTAATGGTTCATCGAATTCCCATCCCCTCAAAAACCTACAGACCTGTGCCGGCGAGGCAGTGGAGGACGTCATGTGTCAAGGACTGCCTCCTTGTCCAATTTCTGGTAGTTGGTCTCCATGGTCTCCCTGGTCTGAGTGCTCCGCCGCCTGTGGAACTGGAGGCACACAGAGCCGTGAGAGAACTTGCGACAATCCACCGCCGACAAATGGAGGACGCCAATGCCCAGGTAAAGGGCTAATGGTGAGTCCCATGAATTTCAGGTTTTTTGTTCAATTTGCGCATTCTATCCTCAATGCGGTCGCGCAGTGGATAGGGAATTACCTCACGCTACTGATGAGCAATACCTCTGTCTTGCGACCAGCATCCTTTGGAGCAAAATTTTTCATGCTCAAGTGGCCTACCATAGAAGGCTCATAGATGCACTCGTGGGCTAAGAAGCTTCTCGGAGCGGAAGTTCGAAAGCTAGTTGACCTGTTGCCAACTTCCCATTTCACAAATCAATAGTGGCAAAAGATACAACACTTTAGGTGGCACCCTAGCATTGTACCAGTACCTGTAAAATGATAGCGCATGCAAATCATACGTACTTATGTCAGGTGTTGCGAACTCCAATGTTTGCAGGGCGAAATAATCTGACGAACAGTAGCTTGACTGCCAGTCAACTATGCACAGTCATTCATGACATCAGACCATTTCACCCTTAGGCCCGGGGTCTAGATAGATGGCAGAACAGTGCGGATGAAATAATCGACCAACCGTCACGTCATCTCTTACTGGTAGCTGGCTCATCGCCAGCGCAATCTGAGAAAACTGCTAAAGGCTCCGTCAAGATTTTTGCTCATTATATCATGACACCTCGCGTTTGGACCGGTCTTCAGCGGGGATACACAATAGTTCCAATGCCTTTTTGCATCTCAAATGACTGGTGTGTGTGCTTAGTCTATGGGTGTGGATAAAGAACACATCATTGTCATTGACCAGTGGTGAGACCACAATAGATAAGGGTACTGAAGGTTTGTCACGGGACAGGAATTATAAATTACAACAAAGGGATGAATGTAAACGTTCTGCATAGCAAACCGGATGGGAATGTTTCTCGGAAAGGATTTATTCTCGACATTATTCACAATATATTTGTGAAAGAGGGATAGATATATATATGGTCTTAATACACTACTCAGAAACCCTATTAGTAGTGTAGTCCGTCTGCAAATGTATCGTGATATCTCGAATGTTGTAGCAACTGAAGCACGAGGCGGCCTGGTGCAACACATTCAGTTGCCTGGAAACATCACAACCGAAAGATTCAGCTGGGTTCCAGGTGGGTCTCTCGTAAAAACCACTTTGTTTGCAAATGAGTGGTGTAATTCGCTAACTTCGTGCAATTGGGGTTCAAGGAGAACCTAAGGTTGACGGAAACTCGAGGACTACGCCTACCTGATGAGCCCCAAGAAGCCCCACGCATGAAGGGTGAAACCGACCGTGAACTGTCGAAAAATTTTCGGCAACCCTATGAGTAATGTATTACGTATATACACGCATCGCGATATCTTGAATATCGTACCAACTGAAAAGAGATTCAGCTGGGTTCCAGGTGAATTTGTTTGGAAAGGAACAGATATACTTCCCGGAGGATCATTCTCCTCCCTGTGTGAACAAGTTCCCATTTTCCTGAGGTGTTGGCTCCGCTGAGGACATATGTATCTTGTTTGATGTGCTCCTAAACAGGAACAGATATACTTCCCGGAGGATCATTCCCCTCCCTGCGTGAACAAGTTTCCATTTTCCTGAGGTGTTGGCTCTGCTGAGGACGTACGTATCTTGTTTGATGTGCTCCTAAACGGCATGACCACGTAACTCACCGACAGCAGTGCTCAGCCGCATTGGTTATGAAGCTATGTGATGCATCAGGCGCATTTTTATTCTTCGCGGAAACACAAAAGGATGTGCCCCGCAATATACTAAACCATATATTCTAACGTTTACAGTGCTGTTTACGGTACTATATAGTATACTTTATGCGTGATTTATTGTATAGCTTACCATATGATGTGCGATTTAGTATTCTACATGCTATACTGCACTATACTGAACTACCCCGTGCTATACTTTGCTGTACTAGACCACGCTATACTACCAATTGCCACATCATACCCTATTATACTATATAGTGTTATACTATACTATACTGTACAGTAAAATCTAATCCAGTTTAATAAACTACTCCTCTATAAGTCTAAAAGATGGGATTACATAGTTTCTGTTCACCAAAGACAGACCTAAGGGTAACCAATTAGTTTTACTTGCACATTAGTGCTTGGCTCCGACCACTGAAACTGATAAGGCGTGATAGTGTTTAGTGAAAAGTTGGCTAAACCCAGCCAATGATTATGTGCGTTATCCTATATAACCGTGCATTTAACACCTGGATAAACCCACCTTTCCTCACATCAGGTTCGTGCATGCAATCGAGGCCCGTGCCCTGTTAACGGTGCATGGGGTAACTGGGGTCCCTGGTCGCACTGCTCCAGGAGCTGTGGAGGTGGGCAACGCACACGAACGCGTCGGTGTGATAATCCCACTCCAGCTTTCGGTGGCGAGGAGTGCCCAGCTACGGGCTATATGGAAGTTTCTGAATGTCAGAACAACGCCTGTCCCAGTAAGTTGATCCGTACACTTGATCACAATAAAATATTTACGTCCTATCGACCATTGCTCAGCAAACAAAACCGATCCCGAGGTTACCGTGGACAGTACTTCCTACAGTTGACCGGGTAAAATCCGCAGGTCTTTTGGTAGCAGACGGAAGCAAGTTACACAGATTTCGAAAAACGTTGTTTGATGTCTTTAGTAGTGTTGTGTGAACTCGACGTTTTGCGGGTCACCCAGGGACGAATTTGTACTCTTAGGTTGATGCGCTCATTCTCTGTTAGCTAACCTGTCGTAGCGCTTCTTAGTTTGTTTCTAGGACGATAACCTTCACAATAGCAACAACTTTCAGTGTCTTCCGGTGTCCTCATCAAACCATCTTGTGACAGTGCTTCCAAAACGGTGACAAACCTCGGTCGTCAGGACTGTACAACACTTTTACGCAAATACCCTAGGACATCTTGGCAATTATAAGTTAATAGAAGTTCCGTACATGTTACTGGGGTTTTTGTAGCACAATCGGTCCATACAACATGGGTGGATGATGCAAGTGGGTATGGTTTGATCGATCAACCGCAATCATCTTCCGAGGGCTGACGGTAGCCTTTGTAAGTGTTGCTGAATACGTATACACTGAAATCCAATTGAGGTTCCACTGAGCAGCGCGATCAAGAGGCGAAAACGGCACTCTATCGGAATGCGGCGTCCAACAGATGAACGCTGCGAACGATACCGTTTGCTGCGTGGGTAGGAGTTCCGCCCACATTGAAACCTATCCTTCCTTTGTCTGCCTGAGCGGTCGCAACAAGCAGCATACTTAGTCCTCTCGTTATTATGAGAACGCTGCCTAGTGAGTGCTCAGAAATTAATGTAAAACTCGTGACATTTTGACAAATGTTCCGACCTAGGCTATCAGAAAGTGCTCAGCAAATATGGAGGTGCCAACAGTTATTACCGTCATTCATTTCCTCTTGTGGGTATTCCTTTAAGATCCTTTTATTCACCCAAGTTGATCATTCACAATCTGTGTTGACCCATAGTTTTACTGTTGGATACTTAGTGGTCCTCATATGAGAAACCCATGCAGTGATTTTTGGGAAATCAAGCAACGTATCTTCCTTTCTCTGTTCATGTTCACATCTCCTAGGCCGCACGTGTCGACGCTACCCGCGTCGTTTGCGCAGGCCACAGGTTGCTTCAACACAGTCTGCCAGATTCATGCGGTGATGATAGCCATAATACAAATCAGAAGATGTATGTGTGCACTAAAAAAAGTTTTTAACTGTGATTGACAGTTGTTTACAGGAGCGACTGTAGCATGTATAAAATAAAGATCAATATAGAATGTGTAGCAAGTCAACAGAGAACTTATCGTATGTGAGAGTCGCTTGGTAAAAGTCCGAACGGCGGGAACGTGCTTTTCTCCGCAGTGCGACTGCTACACGTATTCCATAATTGTCCGTGGGCTTGCTCCCTGCGCGCGCGCGAGTCTGTGTGTGCTGACTGCGTTCGGTTTCCCTATATTATGTAGGTCCGTTTGTGCGTACTTGGGCGCGTCAGCACATGAGTAGTTGCTACGCTCACTAGACGATACAGACAATCGGTGTCCGATGAGTCAGATTAATGTGACTTGGTTGTGGGCATGAAAAAGAGACAAGTCTCGTGATCAAGTGAGCGACTGTGGGCTGAACAGTCAAGTGTGCTGGTAACTGGGTCGCTACAGTTCTACAATTCCACGCTTGTCCACTAACGAATGGCTGGTTCTTAGGTGTAGAGCTCTGCCCATAGGACAGCAAATGAAAACCACACTAGCTGTTGAAGCTAACCAGTGGATACCAATTCAGAGAGTGAATTGTGAAGACGCGTAATTTATTTCGCAAGAAATCTTGAATAACTCTGAACCATCTGAAGCCCCAATGTGACGTTCAGGGTTTCGTGGCTGCGGTAGTATTCAATCATTAGGCTAGTTATGCTGGCGGCCTATTTGTCCACAGCTGTCTTCAGGTACGCAGTGGTCCTGATTTCCCCCGCTGTAGCTCTTTAGCACTTTGAGTCTTCAGATTAGACCCATAGAAGTAGCCAGCTTTGTTCGTTCGATTCCCGCACACTTAAACTACTGAAGTATCACGGCATTGGTAGATCTCTGGTCATTTCCAGCAAGATAATTATTCATAATTTTCATTTTTTATGTTATAAACACCAATACATGCAGAACGCCTCAAAGATTCCTGGCCAATCTTAGCTCTTCAAATACTAGATGTGTAGCAGTTGTGCATAAAACACTTTAAGGTGGGTTCTTATGAATGTCTATCCAGCCTAAACAATTTGATCTCCTGTTACCCCTCTCTGTCACATGCAAGTTAACGGTGAGTGGTCCAACTGGTCATCCTGGTCCGCCTGTTCCCGCACTTGTGGTGTCGGTCTGCAAACACGTGAACGTGAGTGCACGCAGCCTGCGCCCCAGTTTGGTGGTCGACTTTGTCCCGGTTCGGCCAAAGAAGTGCGTACCTGTGAGGTCAATCGACCGGGTAGTTCGATCGCTTGTCCCGGTACAGACCAAGTCACTCATCAGGCTTCCTGGTCCGAGTGGTCAGCATGGTCAGTTTGTGAACGAGACTGCCTGTTTAGCGGGCCTCGATCCGAACTGGGTGGATGGCAGCGACGTAGCCGATCGTGCAGACTGACTAGTAACGAGGGTGAAGCAGACAAGAACAACGGACAGCAAACGCATGGATGCCCAGGTCCAGCAGAAGACGTACAACAGTGTACACCCGAGCTAGGATCTTTAGAATGTGCAGGTAAGAAAGTCCACGTTCATTAGTTCACCCACGCGTTCCCATACTCGAAAAGCACAGCAGTGATCGTGACAAACATTCGTTTCTAGATTCCACGGATCGACCTAGATCTGGTGTCATCTTTGGTCATCTTCGTGGACAAATAAACAAGGTAGATATTGGTGTGATCCCCATCAATGCTTCATGGTCCATGCCCGAAGGACGAGGACCAACAAACTATCATTTCGAACTTTCTGAAGTCCCTCCCGAACACAGTACTTGTTTGCAAGCCATGTCGGAGTTATACGGTCCGGTGTTTTGGTATGCCGCACAAGAGGTGAGTCGTGTGTATGGAGTTCAACTTGTGTTTAGCGTTGCGGAACGAAATCGGCATTTAAAGGTGTCTAGGTAGAAGGTTTGACCTTCATTTTGCACGGTGATTCACCCAACATCTGTTCACCCTGGGTCCTTCTAAAGTACTCTTCCAACATTTGAGAGTGATGTGGAGATTTGTGCATTTTCAGAGCATACTTTTTCAGGCATTCTGGTACGCAGTTCAGGTAAACGTAGTGTCAACAAAAACGCCTCGAGCCACTGACAGGGGCTCTACGATTCAGCTAAGAATGACATGAATAATCTAGCATCATAATACTCCCCCGTTCGTCTGCTTACTCCTCCCACGTACTTTTGGTTTCCACTTTTTTTGCTCATCCGCGCATCCCCCCACTTTCATCTTGAAGCGAAGGCCGCCCCGTCTGTCACAGGTAAACAAGCATGTTGTTGCGTTGCGTGGATGTATGTGCGTAGCTGACTTAACTGATGCATGTTCGCGCCCCGTTTGCTGGGTCTGCCTTGACTAGATCTGCGTGATCTCCGCGTTGTCGCCCAGCCAATCAGAATCACGAGAGTGGCCTCGGAAGGAACGCCGCACTCACACCTCTGAGCCAACATTCCGCTCGCCGTTGTCTGATCGGCGAACCTCGGCAGTGTGCTGTGCGGACCAATGACAACCGAGTATCTTATAACTTTGAACCCACTTCTTCCTTTTGATATTCGGGATCGTCAGACCAACCTGTGAATCAAATCTCCGCATCGGGAACCTCTACAAATTGAATCAAACTATATGAAATAACCAACAGAAAGCCAAAACCATTTGAACGTTCTCAACCACTTTTATGTACCACTTCAACCTTCATAAATCAGACCACCATCGAGGCGATGGATGTATTTAGCGATCAGCTTAAACCAAAACTTATGATCGATGCCATAGCGAGACATGGTTCAATTTTTGCACCTTGCGAGGAATATACATGACTTAAAATGCCCCAAACGGAAGCTCAACTAAGTTATTTGTGCTGGTCTGTTTGCCGAGCTTGGTAGTTGGATTGCAAACGCTTCATCACCAATCGAGATGACATTGTCAGTGCTTATTTAGTTGCTCAACCCCGCACCGAGGTTGTCAACTTGATTGGTGATGAAACGTTTGCAATCCAAATGCCAAGCTCCGCGAACAGACGAACAACCAACCAACGCACCCAAGCTACCTATATTCCACAACATTGTCAACTAAGTTATGTCGGAAAGTTTACGTTTACTTGTTATATCTGCTGATTCGCCGACCTGTGGTATCTGCTGCAGACCCGCTCCTGTGCCTAGTGTCGGAGAGAAAAAGGCTCACGGAAGGGAACACAATAGCTATATTCCAACAAAGTGGTTGCGAGAGCGCGAGTGCGTGCGAGTGCGAAAAGTACAACGGCCTCAAGCTTTTTATTGGAAGGACACTGTTTGAACTTGGTCCAATGCTGACACACGCGGTCTGGCTTTAGTACGAGGCAGCGACGTGCTGCATATTGCGGAGGCGTTGTCTGTCCTTGATCAACGCCGACTCGCGCTGTCTGGGTTTGATGCAAGGCTATGACGCGCTGCATATTGAGGAGGCGCTGTCTATCTGGTTAACATCTAGCGGACCTGAGAGTCTCGGTAGATTTCGGGCATTCAGTGGTTGCTTTCAGGAAGCTGACCTTCCTGATATTACTGATATTCAGGAATGGACTTACAGCCCTCAAAGTTGAATTACTTCAGACGACTCGCCTCAGGTTATACCCCATATTGTCATACGGAATATCCCTTCCATACTGTTATTTCAAATAAACTCCCCGTAATTTCCAGGTTTCTGGTGCCTCCAATGGAAATAGCGTGGGAATAAATGGGGGCACAATAAACTGGGAAAGCCTCGGTCAGTTTTCCGATGGAAGCCAGATAAAAATATCCACCCGTCTCACACCGACCAATGAAGGTTCTCAACAAACGGCTGACAAAAGTCAGCGCTTTCTCAGAATGGACTCCTATGTGACAGGCTCCTGCTCAGTATCCTTGTCTGAATCTGCTCGAAAGGGCGAAGACCTGGTGATCAAGTTGCATCCGTTCAAAGAGAACATTGTTCAGCTCAATCCACATAAAGGTTAGTCCGATCATGCTTTGTCTTGCTTTGTGAGTGTCGGTTCCGACCAGTTAATTCCTCTTAACACCTCTTAATTTGTCTACTCTCTATAGTGTTGATGGATATAGACAGAGAGGGCAATAGGAACCGGGTTATCTACACTGGTGTTTTTGTGTATATACTACTCAAACCCACTCCTTATGCTCTTCACCTGATCTTATCGAATTTTTGTCTTCCAAAGGTGAACTACATGCATATTCATCTCGGGCATTTGGAGTTCAGAAACCGGGTGATTTACGGTCCCGAATTGAGCCAAATGCATGGACCTCGGCCATCCAAACTACAGGCGGACGCCGTCAGCGATATCTAAACCAAGAACTCAATGTGGAACGAACGAACATGAACGCTGACAAACCTAAGCGAATCATTCAGCTATGGGCTGAGGCTTACATCACGAAACCTCCAACTGGAGGATTTTGTCCAGCAGGATTTGAACTGCAACAGACACGCTTTTCGGGGATCGGAAGTGCTTTAGAAGCCCAACGTGATTATTGCCAGGGTGAGTGTTGAATCTAACACGACCTAATGTTAATTCCCCCATTCATTTTGCTTACTCCGCATATGTACTTTTGTTCTCCAGCTGTTTTGCTTATCCGCACCCGCTACTAAGCTTGCCGCAGAGGCCGTCCTGTCCGACACTAGTGTATTGACACGTGTCTGTGTGTGAATGTGCGCTGCTGACCTATGCGCGTTTGCTAAGCCTGCCTTGACTTGCTTCCTCATGAGCTCCATGTGATCGCACGTCCAACGAGAATCACGAGACTGTCGTCGGAAGGGATGTCCGCAACCTATGCGACTCAGCCATCATTCCGCTCTCCGTTGTTTGGTGTGCAGACGTTGACATTGCACTGTGCCGATCAGTGACAGACCTGTGAACTTGTTGACGTTACGAACGTGAACAATTGAGGTTTGTTGTACACATTCTTCCTTTTGATATTCGGGATTGTCGAACCTACGCGTCACTCAAAGTTCCGTATCGGGAACCTCAACAGTATGTTTCAGATGAAGATCTAAACTGCTTGTTGTCAACGGAAGGTTTCGAAGTTCCAACTGATTCTTCAGCCTGAAAGTAAACTCAACCTTTACTGTTTCGTCCTTCACTGGAATCACTGGTAGCGTGCATATCACGAATCCCTAGTGAAACTCGAACCCAAGACCTCCTGTACCCAAGACCCTAGTGAAACTCGAACCCAAGACCTCCTGCTTAATAGTTACACACTGTACGATTCGGCCACGAGTGACTGATCAATATTATGCCTAACTTGCATCCAGTCGGCCGCTGAATGGTCTCTCAGCGAAAGTACTCAAATGGTGCATTTTCTGCTTGACTTTACTTACAAAATTACTAAGCGGTTCTCAACGGCTTCACGTAACTCTTACATCCTCAGATTCATACACTTTTACTAAAATTTTGGACAGCAGGAGTGCAAATACACCCTCTATAACTTACCTGACCCCTATTTCCTCTCATTTCTCAAGATGTTGATGAATGTTCCTCAAGGAGCTTGAACCAGTGTGATCACATTTGTGAAAACACCATACCACATTACAAGTGTGCCTGTCATTCTGGCTATCGTCTATCATCTGATGGTCATTCTTGTGTCGACATTGACGAATGTGTAGCCAACCCGTGCACTGATGAACAGAAGTGCGTCAACACTCCGGGCGGTTATGAATGCAAGAAGTCTTGCGCAGTCGGCTTACGCGAAGTGGCCGATGGATGTCAAGGTAAGCCCAACGTTTGTGGTTGGTCTAAGTTAATGTAACCTTGACCAGGGATCAAATAGTCGCCATCACATAACAGAACAGGGGGACGAGGCCAAACTAGTGGCCGATGGATGTCAAGGTAAGCCCAATGGGAAAACGTTTTTGGTTGTTCTAAGCGAGTGACCTTGACCAGGGACCAAATAGTCGCCATCACAAAACAGAGCAAGGAAGACGAAGCCAAACTCGAAGTAGTCTTTTGGTTGTTCAAGCGGGATACTCGGACTTGTCTGATTTATGGTTGAAATCACCACTTCATACCTCTGGATGGTCTGTTTGATGATCAGTTAGAACTAACTAGTCACGGCAAATGCACTAATTTGCATATCAATTTGGTTTTGACGGCAGACTCACCTGGAGCCCAGCTGAATCTTTCGTTTATGATGTTTTTAAAAACACCTTAAGATCAGTCTGAATTCGATTCGAATAGAACATAAGGTTGACGGAAACTCGGGACTGTACCCACCGGATGAGCCCCAAGAAGGGTCGAACCAGTTGTGGGCTTTTTGAGTGTTTTCAGCAACCTTATGAGTAGTGTATTACGTCTGGGACTGACTGGTCTCAAAACCAAAGCCTGAAAATTGAGTGGCCATTGTTGACCACGCTCCAGCGGAGTCACGCGATCCTGGTTGACAAAGTTCAACTCATTCATACGGCACTTCTCATGTAGTGCCATGTGAAACAGCTGACGATTCGCATCCCAAGCGCGTAACTCGATAGAAAAAATCCTCTATGCCTATCAGCTGACTGCTCAGGACAAAGCGGTAATAAAACCAACATGATACGGGAAGTGGTGACTTCGACCTCAAACCGCAAGCTTGGACGCGTCCCTTCGACCAACCTTGGTGCCGTTGGATACCAGTTTAGCTCATCCCCTTCTTTTTGATTCTTGCATTCGTGAAACAGGTCATGCGCAGTTGCTTAACTGGCGAACAGTAAACGTTGTTATTTTGGCGTATAATTCAACAAAACTGAATCTCCTACACAGCCGTAGAAGGCGTTCAGCTGTAGCACTTCGATGCGGATATTTTCCAAATCATGTGGCTACTTCTGGTTGTCATCTGTTTTGTATTGGGAAGCCATTCATTCCCTCGACAGTGTTGTTAACAATACAATACATACAACTAGTTGAGTGTATCATTTGTTGTCCCTCGATACTGAGCTACGCCGTAGTCGCTCCCTCAATAACGACCTCTCAAAACGAAACGGTCTTCCTGTAAGAAAGAATTTTAATGAAGTAAAATATTTCTAACATGTCTCTCCAGTAATTAAGAAAAACTCACAACGCATCAGTAAATATCGCACTTGAAGCATTTGAACTGTTCTTTCATCATGACAAATAATACTCGCCTCTTTCCACACCTTTTGCTTAGGGGTTACCGCAAAACATGTACAGCTGTTTCAGAAAAAGTGAGGGGAACAAACAGAGCTAAGCTGGGAGCCATGCCACAGTTGGGGTCTACAGGACTGAGACAGAATTAACTAGTTAACGCTAAGGTTCCTTTAGATATTCTTTTAGCGAAGGATATATCCGCAAGCTCTTATCGGCGTTGGGAATCGCTCATCTTGTGGTACGAGTCGAGTGAATCCTCTGCATCAGTTTGCTGAAAGTGTTCGAAAAGCTTCCGTGGTGTGGAGTTTCCGCTACCATATAGCACTGGTTCGTCGAATACATGATGACTGCGTGTTGTCATCAAATACCGCTTCGGTTAGAGAAGAGCGCGTTTGTCGCTGAACTCCGGAGACAAATTTGTGATTTATTCAGCAAGTCATTCGCATCCAGTAAACCGCATACTTGTGTACTAATTTATACGAATATGAGATTCATGTAAACTTCTCGTTCGTATCATTCGGATATATTTTTCCTTAAGGATCGCTACACATAAGGTCGCCCTTTGTTACCAGAACGAACTGTTAATTGCCAAAATTTTCGTCTTAACTACGGACTGATCGGTTCTGATCAATTCTCACATTTTGCTTATATTTGTCGTCATCACATGTTCAGCCACCAGATTGCATCGTGCTGAGCCCCTATTGATTTATCATCGTTCCACTCTCACATGTGACTCCATTGGTCGTTGCATTTCGTTAGTTGTCTACCCGATCATGCATAACTGTTGTTTCCTATTGGTTATTCGGTGAAGAGCAAGTCCCAGCCAATTCCTGCCATTTTCCGATGTATATAACCGCATTATTTAGCGACAAAAAAGACCTGTTCCTGTGCTCGACTTTGGCTTCTTCCTTACGCAAGTTGACGGGTTACCTCCGGACGACACAACACCCTTGGCCCATGTTGCGGACCTTATACGAAACTAGATTTTTTTGTGGTAAACACTTTTGGAGGGTGTTGTACACGTTTTATCACGTATTATTACTAAGATGACCAGTTTATCATGCTTTCCCTTTACGTCTTCCCTAAAGATATTGATGAATGCACCGAAAAGCCAACCGTCTGTGGTATCCACCAGTGCGTGAACACGTATGGTGCATACTACTGCGCATGTCTTCCGGGTTATGTGGAAACGGAGGATGGGTGTCGAGGTAAGTAATGGATTCCGGTACTTTTTGTCACATGTTTCTACGACAACCCTCGACGCACCTAGTTCCTGCAATCCCTACCTCTGTTTCATACTTATAACACTATTGTGATCCTGTAGGTTTATTTAGTCAGTAACCGCGCCCTGGATCCATTGTGACTAATAAATACTTTTTACCTCTGGCTGCTACGGTCCAGTAGATCATGCGATTCAGATTACGAGACTTATCCCATTTAGCTTTTACCGCAAGCCCTAACTTGATGAATCCGTGGCGCCATAAAGGTCTGTGTGAATCGAACACAACATTGTTATGTCTGCTGATTCGCCAGTCTTTGGTATCCGGCTCCTGACCCGCTCCAGGGCCTAGTTGCCGAGACAGAAAAAAAGACTCGCAGAAGGGAACACAACAGCTATATTCCGAGAGCGTGAGTGTGTGCGCGTGCGATTTACAGCGTTCTCAAGCTATTTATTGGAAGGACACTGTCTGAACTTGGTCCAATGCTGACGCACACGGTCTGGCTTTGGTACGAGGCTGTGACGCGCTGCATATTGCGGGGGCGTTGTCTATCTGGTCAACATCTAGCGGAGCTGAGTCTCAGTAGATTCCGGGCATTCGGTGGTTGCTTTCAGGCAGCTGACCTTCCTGATAAACATGGATGCGATTTCAGCCATCTTCAACTCTAAAATATGTCAAAAATAACCAAATGTCATTGTGAGGTTTGAGCTGCCATATGTCTCTAAAATCTCGTCGGGTTCCTCTGAAATGCAACATTTGAAATAAGTGCCGTTCACAAGAAATACACTCATTTGCAAATCAATTTGGTTCTTACCAGAGACTCAACTGAATCTCCCGTTTATGATATTCTACAACTGAATGTGCTACACACAAGCCGCCTTATGTTTCAGTTGACACGATATTCGAGATATCGCAGCATATTTTCATAAAGGAAACTGCTCACAAGGTTGGTGAAAACCCTTCCACATTTCACGACTGGTTTCGCCCTTTTTGGGGCTAATCAGGTAGGCGCATTCCCCGAGTTTCCGTCAACCTTATGTTCTACTTGAACCCAAATTGGACTGTTTTCGGGAAATACACTCATTTGCAAATCGATTTGGTCGAACAAATCTGTGGTAACGATGTTAACGAAAGCGCGGGATCTGGTAATCAGGTTAAGTAATGTGAAATTGCAGTCAATCGAAGTATTCTGCTAATCAAAAGAACCCTGCTGGCAGCTTCCACAAAGTGTTCAAACAAAAACACTGCACTGACTGGCAGATCGTGCTTCAAAATTGATAATACGAAAAGCACCTTTTCCATATGTCAAACCTTTCAATCACTTGCGCAATCTTCTCACAGTTGCATAGTAGCGAAATAGTCTCTAAGTACCTGCAGAAGAATGCTGGTTAGCTATCAATGTCGAGGATGAACTGCTTGGTCTCAGAGACTTCAGAGTGGATCGAACGGATCGAGATGTGGGTGAAAAGAAAGTCGTTGCTGAAGTTCTGGCATATAAAACTCAAACTGGAAACCCCTTTTCACTTCCTCAAATATGAGCTCTGTGTGTGTGTGTATGTGCGGGCCCAGTTCCCTCAGTAACTTAAGATGTCTCGTGGTTGTGAGTAGTTGCAGTACACCAGATTGTTTGACGATCTCCCGGAATTCTGGTCTGTGCTGACCCAAAAACACGTTGAAATATCTCTCAAAGGCACACCTGGAATGAAAAAAACAGAGACCAACCCTTGTCTGAGTTTTTATCAATCATGCCTGCCTGGTATGTTTGCAGTCTCAATGCAACCTGATATAAATCTAACGATTAGGAGACTACGTTCACCTGAGGCACTCCAATAAGGACGAACCGGTAACAGAATGTCGAAGAGTTTTCAGCAGAATTATGAATAGCGCGTTATGTCAAGACCACTCACTACATGCTTTGCCCAGTTTAGTGCTGAGCACGATAGTGTGGCCCATTCATACTAAGAAACAAGAGGTACAGGATTCTGTTCCGGTGATGTAAAACAGCTGACTTAAATTTAGGTGTCACGCTGACTCGCTGTGTCTGAAAAGGGATGAAACCGGTGGTTAGCTGTCGGTCTTTGTCTACCGGTGGAATAGGTATCAGCTCTTGTGATAAGTAAGGAACTCCTACATGTTGAAAAAAAGCCTTTAGGTAGCTTTTGCGCTGCATTCCAGGGTCCTCTGAATTCTCTCTTCACACCATGCGCAAATATGAATGACACTCGCGAACTAATTGGTCATTTTGCGTCTTAATAAGTGCATAGATGATCCCCTAGTGCCAGTTACCTAGAAAACTTAACAAGTTATTGAACGATAGCAAATATGTTGAGCCTTTCCTTCTTTTACTCACGATGTAATGAAGTGTATTTTTATTTTCTTGACATATCACACTGCGCAAAAAGTCGATGAAACTCAGTCTTTTACCGATTTTGCCTCTCTTAGAGCTTGTCTCGTTGGCCTAGTTCCCCAAGTTTTCGTCGATCTTGAGAACGTCATGAACGAGAGGTTCATCTGAGTCTCCCGTTCATATCAACTAACTTGCAACCGTGTTTCGTCAATGACCGGATGCCTAATCGTTTAGGTAGAGTACTGACATCACGCTACACATAAACTTATCCTGCTGCAGCGAGGTTGGCTCCTGATGAGGCTTGTTGTCTTCCTACATGAACTAATCTGTGATTATTCCCGTCGAATTCACGTCGAATTTCATGCAATTGGGGTTCAAGTGAAACATAAGCTGACGAGGACTGCACGCACCTGATGAGCCCCAAAAAGAGCGAAACCGGTCGTAAACAGCAACGTTATAAGCAGTGCATTACGTCTAGAAAGTTTTCCAATTTCGCTTTTTCTTCGTATTTGTAGTGTTACATAGCGCATCCACTTCGAACTCTCTTCTGGTTACTCTCCAGATATCGATGAGTGTATTGACAGTGCGGCCAACCAATGCCGTGAAAACGAGCGTTGCGTCAACCTGCCAGGCACCTATAAATGTCACTTAGCTTGTCCAATCGGCTATCGGGTATTGGCCAAGCCAAATTCAAACACCATCGAATGTATTGACTTGGATGAATGTGCGTTGGGTACGTTCAACTGTCCGCCAGGTTCACGCTGTTGGAACGAACCGGGTAGCTATGCATGTCGGTGTGCCAATGGAGCGACCGCTGGAGCCCGAGGCTGTGATTGTAAGTGTTTTGGTGTAGCGTGAGCTTGGAGTTTTTGCTAGAGCCAGTGCATGCTTTGTTGGTTTTTATGAACTTGCTGTTGCTTAGACTACATAGTTCGAATTAAGCCCGCTGGACAGCACTGACTCAACTTCCACTCCCTTACTCATTCTCAAGCTTTCATGTCCCACACGTGCTCTGATGTAACCGAAACTTGCGGGTACACGTGTCCTGATGAAAACAGTTGTAACATAACACTGTCGCTGTTTTTAATGTGCCTTACTCAACTTGCGCTGTCACATTAGTTTTACACGCGTCTTCGATCCGGAGCGGTTCTGGCTCTGTGTCAGGCATTTAGCAGTACACTAGTCAGATAAGCGGTGCAGTATTACAGCGACATATAGAACATGAGTCCTCCGTTGCGGCTGAAGTGCTTGCTCCAGATATTCGCCGCACTTCCATGTGCTAGCGCAGTGGAGTAAATCTCAGTTATTTAGGTCATGAAAGAAGTAGGAAATCCCTCGTCAAGCAACTCAAATCATCATGAAAAGACATTCTTACAGAATAACGAAGACAAGTCGTAAACGTGGTAGAGTACTTGCCCTGTAAGCGGGTGGCCACGGGTCCCAGTTCCGTCCAAAGACTGTTTTTCGTTAGCAGTGTGTTTGGGTCCATATTCCAGATTTTTCAATGCCCCATCTTTGCAACGTCGATTCAAAGCCAATTATCTTCGAATGAGTGACTCCCATCAGTGCATATGTATAACGTGAGACAGCCTCCGCGGAAGCTCAACTGATAGGGCATCCGCCCGGTCGCGGGTTTGAGTCCCATCTTTTTGTTGGCACTGCGTGTGTTGAGAACAACTCTGGGAATGTCGATTTATCGTTTGTCGCTTCATCTCTAGTACCCTCAACCGATATTTCAACTTCTACATGCTTCACTGTACAGGGTCTGTCTACGAATTCAGTTGAATCAAGTCAATTCTTGCCAAAAATAATCCATTAATATGACCGGTTAGCGTATCAGCTGTGTTTGTGGCACAGTCCCTTTGAAGTGACGTTTGTCGCACAAGGAATTTCCACGTGGGGCCTCTTCTTGAAACCGCAAGGGGTTTCTACTTCGGTTTCGGGCGTTTTTTTTAAAGGAGGATACTCTGTCGCACAAGGAATTTCCACGTGGGGCCTCTTCTTGAAACCGCAAGGTGTTTCCACTTTCGGTTTCGGGCGTTTTTTTTCAAGCGAGGATACTCTGTGTCATCCCACTTTCTAAAATCGCAATCCCTCTTCATTCCTCCCAAACAGATCGAAACGAAACACTATGTAACGAGGGTTTCCAATGGGATGAAGTCAAAGGCTGTGTCGGTGAGTCCAGTGATACTACTTGCAAGTGACTTCAGTATGCGAAAAATCCAAGTGATTTTGTGCATCCTTGCGTATTTATTTTACACACCAACCTTCGGAAGATTTCTTGGTGGACCAGTGTGGAGTCCCTGATGGGCCTGGATATCAGCAGGGGAGATTTTAGAAGTAACTTTCCTTCGGATAAGTGGCCACTTGTCCAAGATACAAACGGTGTAATTGAGGGGGTCTTACAAGATTCTGGGACACGCATTGGAGAAAGATTGTCGAACCTATTAACACAGTGAAATTAAATACTGTCCAGTCATATTCTAAATCGGGTATCATTAAAAATAATCTGTGTAAGGTTAATCATCTAAAGATGCCCATCACATTCAAAGAAAACGTTCAAAGAGGCTTGGAAATAAACACACACAGAGAGGACAAAATGAAAGCGCTAAGTCGGTGGAATGTGGTCGTTCTGAGAGCCATTTTAGCGTTAGCCCAACACAGAGGCGTCGCTGAAATGGCGCCCTATTCACTGTCGGTATAATCTCCGGTATCCTCTCTGAACTTTGCAGCTGAAGCCGTCATTTGATGGTCAGATGAAAAGTTGGCCTTTCAGAGAAATGCGGTTGGCAAAAATGTGAGGAACATCCACAGTCCGGTAACGGCAGTCCGTTGCCACTAGATCTGCCCCCCAGGTTTTCTGAAAATTATAGCTTCCTTAGACGGCTGTTGCACTCTTCTATGGTCGAATTCCCTGTTCTTTGCGTAGCTCACGCTTGACTGAGCACAACCATCGTATGGTGTGCAACTGGGTGATCAATAAGTAGGGTTCTACTTCGAACGGTCGTGATGTGCAGTTATCTGCGAAAATGAGTCAACCGTCAACCAATCATGTTGGACGCGAACTCTTCCAAAAAGGACGCGTCTAAACACAGAAATAGCACAAACAGAGCTGTTCCAAGCAATCGGACACGAAAGTGAAAATCTCCCTTCCACGGAGTTTGACAGACTCAATGAATGACGAAGTTTAACCACAAGCTGCCAGAGTATCACTTAAAGCAGTGATCAGTCCATACCTACCGTGTGGACAACCAATTGCATGATTAGCCATCCTCAACTTCAAACCACGTAATATGTGACTGTCACAGCGTGACTAACTGAAGTGCTCCTTGAAGGTTGGCGGCCGAGTGTGCTAGCGCTGTCTATCCTATAAAACCAGTATCTCAACCACACACCCGCATTCCATTTCATCCTCTAACTTCAGACGTAAATGAGTGTCAGACGAATTCCGGACAGGGTCCGTGCCAATACAAGTGCATCAACACGTTCGGTGGATTCTACTGCGAATGCCCACCTGGATATAAGCTGGACAAACAAAGCAATACATGTAAAGGTAAGTATTGGTGGAGAGATATCTCCGGTTTCTCATTCTACCTGGTTTCGCTTCAACCCATTTGAGCTGTTGATTCAATATGATAAGACTTTTACAACACCACAGAAGTCATCTCAATGATTCATGGGATCTGTCGTTTGGTGAGAAAACAGATTTACTGTATCAAGAATGTCATCCTTAGATTATCTTTCGCCGGAAACTGGGACCTGGGTTGCCTTGAGGGTAATCCGACCAAAGTGTTGTTTTACCAAAAAATTCCAGGTTTTGAATAGCCAATACCACACTCTTCCAGTCAACTCATTCATGGCCCGAATACGCACTGTGTAGATGATTGCAGTACCAGCAATTCCCTAACCCGAGATCCAAGTTGGGATTACGCAGAAGCATTCATAAAAGTCATGCGTTCCTGCAGCGTAGGCATGAATCGGAACCAACCTTTAAGTGCATACGCTTTCGAGAACCCCGTTTCTTTGCGAACGTAATTACGGAATTTGTTCGCCAAGCCCCATTCGCATCTATTATGACCTAGTTGTCGCTACCCAGTACGACCTACGAAGTTGGTGAATTCACCGCTTTCTCGAAAATCCCATAGTTATTAGTGACTTATTAAATCATTGAAAACTGCTCATATTGGTCACGGACGCCCAAAACACTTGCCAATCACCAGTGGTTGATCCACTGGTCACCTGTGCATAACAGGTAAATCACAGACTTAGCGAAATACACACATTTACAAACTAATTTCGAGAGACTCCCTGAAACCCCAGCTGAATCTCTCGTTTGTGATGTTTCCAGGCAGCTGAAACTGGTCGTGGGCTGTCGACGAATTTTCAGCAACCGTATGAGTAGTGTATTACAAATATAAATCACAGGCTGTTTGCGCAGAGCTAGGTATCGTGCTGCATGCAGGTTGCTGACGTCGATGTTCTGTCAGCCGGCCTAAGCGTGATGGCGTAGCACTGAGCGCCGGCACTAGTTCTACACTACAAAGCGCTGATCTTAACCATTAATTCCTTAGGGGTTCAGCGGGATACTGCACTTTCCTCAACTGCATTACGGTGACAATGCTTCTTTTTGCGGTGTCAGGCTGAAAACCATTGGTCGAATTGCCGTTGATACTGGTGATTAGTGTTCTCGCAGTGTGACGATGGAGTCGGTCAGCTGTTGAGTGAATTTCAGAGCAGAATTGCTTCACTGGCGCTCCGCAGGTGGTTTAGAGTGAGTACGATGGTAACTGGTGAGTCCGATTCTTCTGAGGTATATGCACAATTCCAAGTGGTTGTAGCTGTGCTGGAAGTTGTATAACCGCTTCGAGCGACGCACTTGCGTCCAATTATTGATTTGCACTATCCTTCTAAGCTCCCCAACCTTGTGCAGATGGTGACCAGCGAAGCCGCTCCGTCAAACAGTCAATTTTTGCAAGACCTGAGACCAAAATTAAAGTTTTCTAANATTTTTGCAAGACCTGAGACCAAAATTAAGGTTTTCTAAACTTCTCTAAAGTCTATCACAATTGGGGAGTTTCAGCCGTCCTCCAGTTTCAGTCATATTCTGCATTCCAATGTAGATAATTTGATTACGGATGCGGCTGTCGGGCCATTCGTTCTACTTGATCAACGTCTATGTGTACATATATTTATCGCAATCTATGAACTAAATACCATTGCCTTACACTCGACTCTCAAAAGTCACGTGACTCGTTTGTTAGTACTTAATTAAGGAAACGTGTGTGTTTATGGAGACGCCCAGATAGACAGCAGATGCGTTCCAACCTAAGTGACTGGGGGACGCCCCGTGTGGCAGCACGAATGAAGGAAGGTAGTGGAAAATGTTGTGGCGTGGACTAACTTACAGCTCGGTATGAAGAGGAAAATTCGCAGTGGCCATAGCGGAAGTCAAAGGACTTTGATAGTTGAGGTAGGCCAATGCTCTTTGTCCATGGGGTGTCAAAAAAACGTACGTTTATTCCCTCCGAGTTGGTAGAATGTACTTTCAAAGTGAAGCCACCTCAAGCGCGCTGTTTTTTGAAGAAAATCAATATTGCCACTGTGGTTCAGTGGAGCGTTGAACTGTGTTGCCTACTAGTGTAACAGTGGATACTATTGATGAGGCATGCGAGTAGTATGTTTTCTCGTAAATCCACTTCGCGTCTCTTGAAAAGTGAGGTGTATTGCGGAATTTGTGGAGTCGGTTTGTAGCATTTGCTTGCATTTGTGTAACAGTCAATGAACATCAAGGAAAGTTCAGGAAGACGCGTTCAAGGAGAAGATGGGAATTCAGTTTTGTAAACAAGATGCATATGAGAGTTTTGCTCCCCTGTCTAATATTCTGTAACTGTTCAGTTGGTGTTTCTCCAGCAAAGGTCTTCTTCCCTTCACCAGTAAGAAAACTGGCCATTTTAAAGACGTCTGGGTACAATTAGTAACACTGCATTCATCTGCAAGGATCCAATTCCCAGGATGGCCTATTTAAGGGAAATGTGGATGCTTGAGGTTAACACTTTTATAGAGTTCAGTGAGAAGCTGATAAGTATGTTATTTTTAGGTGATGAACGATTGAATTGCACTGTTTCCCACAACCCTTTTGCGAATCGGAACATAATGTGAGCCCTCATGAATTCAGTCTTCATGAATTCCCTGTAAAATGTGTCCTGAGTATGTGAGTGTTTTACGCTGTACTAGAACCCACGAAGGCTTCGAGCTGAATGTGGAGATCCAGATCATCATCATCACTATCAGTTGTAATAACCGCGTACTTGTTCTACAGTGGTTGTAGCTGCCACAGTTTCGTTCACCGATGATTTGGGAAGGTGGGGTAGGTAGCTACGCATTGGAGGCGGGAGCTGATAAATTGGTATGTAAATACAGAACTGTAGGTGGACTGTTAAGTGGGCGAAAGGGAAGGAAGTTATGCATTGAAGGCAACAGACTTTATGCATGAGCGCCATTGAGGGAGCGCCTGTTGGACAATGTCTCCAACCACTGACATGGCCCGTCGCAGGTCCCCATTCAGGAAGACGGCAGTGACCAGCGCAGCTGAGTTTGATGGTAATGGCCTTTATACTTCGCTGCCAAGTC